GCACGGTTTTGACTTGGTCTGAACTCGAACAATTCTGGATGTTCATCAATGAAGTAGGTATCGACAGCAGCATCGTGGAATTGTTTTTGAGTGAGCACGTTGAGCAGGAAGGGAATATTGGTCTGCAAGGAATCCGCTACCATTTGCAGACCGAAGTAAACAAATGTTGACTTCTACCTTGACTCCACGAATTCGGAACTCTTTCAGAGCTCGAATCATCTTCGCACAAGCATTGGGATGGTTTCGGGCCGAGGCGATAACCTACAATTTGGTCAAGGAATTTTCCCGATAGAACGGAATCAGGAGAGAGGGGGTCATGCAAGCGATTTACCTTAACAAGCAGAGAATCATAGAATGGCGAGATCACGGAACCGGCATATGCTGATGCTGAATCGAGACGGATACCCATACCTTCACCAGATCGGAATACCTGTAATTTAGAAATTTGGTATTTGGCAAATTGTTACGAATCCAGTGCGGACCTCGATTCTTCCAGAGTCGGGTTGGAAGCCTCGCGCAGGATCTTCTGTAGTTACTCGACACTGTATAGCTGCACCATGTGGCTTAATAGCGTCCTGAGTCAGCTTCAGATCTCCTAGCGTTTTACCCTCAGCAATACGCAATTGAGCTTGCACCAAGTCAACACTGAAACGAAAAAACATAGGAAACAGTCCTTCAGTAATAATTCCTAAATTTGGAAACATTACTTGAATATTTTTCATACTATTTTTCAATCAGCTTTCTGATACATAATAGCTCACGAACCATAAAAATTCCATTTCAATTATTTCCCTTGAAATTATTTTGTTCCCATTCACCAAATCTGCTCACCCTGTGATTTCTTCGGAAACCGTGTGTTCTACTTGTAGACGTGCATTCACTTCGATAAAGTAGTAGTTCCCTTTCTTATCTACCAGGAATTCGCAGGTACCTGCAAATTGCACTCTTGGTCTTCGGTACGTTACCAAGTCTTTCATATTTCCAAGATTTTGGTGACATGGTTGAATGTTCCTTTCGAGACGACGGAAGATTTTTTAACCAACCTGCATTATTATACCCTACATGTTTTGCTAGTCGTACTGCGTCATCAAGAATCTTATTTCGGATTTTCGGGTCTAGAGCTGGTGCAGGAGCGATTTCAATAACCTAAAACAAGTAACTGAAGTCAAAACACCGTTAGGATGAATTGCTCACCTTCTGATGACGTCGTTGCACTGAGCAGTCACGTTCACAGAGATGGATGAGGTTACCATGATTGTCTCCTGGAAAGAAGATTTTGAGTACTCAAATTGGTCTTCATTTGGTCCTAGCTCACCTAGCAGCTGTACTTCGATATGTCGTGGTCTTTCGATAAACTTCTCCACAAACAATGAACCATCACCGAATGCAGCTTGTGCTTCGGAGAACGCTCGTTGGAAGTTGTCTTTCAGCTGAAAATATGTCCCTCATCATGTTTTGGTCCTCAGCTTTCTAGGAGCTTGATTTTTTATCTCATCACTTACAGTATCGATGTTGTCTACACGTCGCATTCCACGTCCACCACCTCCATAGGCAGCTTTGAGAATGATTGGGGTTCCATATTGCTTGGCAAATGCCATAGCATCTTCTGCTTTTGTGATGGGACCAGGTGTTCCGGGCACAACTTGGACTCCAGCTTCGATGGCAGCTTGTCTGGCAGCAACCTAAAATTTTTTGGATTTTTGGAGCTGGTTCTGAGTTTAGTTTCCCACCTTGTCACCCATTCGCGCCATGACTTCGGCAGTGGGACCAATGAAGGTGATGCCGGCGTCGAAGCAAGCCTTGGCAAAGTCCGAACGCTCGGAAAGGAAACCGTAACCGGGATGGATGGCATCAACATCGTGCTGAAGAGAATTTATTGGGGAAAGGTTAGCAGAAAAGTATGAGTAGACTAACTTTGAGAGCGGTGTCAATAATCTGATCGATGGCAAGATAGGCAGCTACGGGTGGAAGTCCTTTACCGATCATGTAGGCCTCATCGGCTTTTAGTCGATGAAGCGAGTGTTTGTCCTGAAGAAAAAAACTTCGTTGCTTTTCCGTATTTTTGCATTTGGCTCAGGAGCCGCAAAAGTTGTGACGTTTTTTGGATATGACTGTTGGTTAAAACCTGTTTGATTTAGGTGGTAAACAACAGTACTTTTTCTGATATTAAATTCTGTAAATTTGACCGAGTAATGAATTTTCCTATGCTTTCGCTTTTTATAAATTTACCGAAACTCGGTAGAAAGATTGAAAACAACGACTAATTTTTTTTTCAAAAACCTCTGATTTGGTTGTACAGTTTACTTTCCAAGTTCACTTCCGAAGAAGTGATCATAACCGAACTCACTTTTCTATGCTAATTTTCTCGCGATTTTGAAGAAAAAACTACAATTTTTACACGCTAGAATCGTCCTGGAAATAATTGCTTTTATGTGTGCTGTTTACATGACTTTTTGAATGGATAGTCCTGGAGAAGATAAGACTTTATCTTTATTGTCAGACGCCTGTCACACAAAATAACCAGAGAAACGAACACCATGAAAAACTTTACCTGCTCGCTGTAGATGGCTACCGACGTCATGTTCAACTCATTGAGGGCACGGAAAACTCGAATTGAAATTTCTCCTCGATTTGCTACCATCACCTAAATGTGTAAAATGCTGGAATGTTTTATTTTTACTCTGAAGAACAAAAGGCTGCAGCTTTAATTGTTACCTGAAATAAACACAAATAAATGTTCTTAGTCTAAAAATATATTAAGAATCACGGATTTTGAGAGGGTGTTGAGAGACGATTTTGCACCATTTGATGGTCGAAAGTGATCTGCGCATGTAAACCATTTTCTCTGACTGCAGAAAGTACTCAACAAACTTTCAAAAATAATCTCAAAATTGTGTAATATTGTATTAGGTTGTCCCGAAAGTAATGTCGTTTCATT